CTCACTGAATGCTTCTTGACATTCTCAGTCTAATCCCATTCCTTAAGCTCATCTATGATCATGTCCCTACTGATCACTACTTGCTTGTTCACTGGGTTGAATAACTTGTATCCTTCAGTCGAATGATACCCTATTATGATCATTTGACTTGACTTATCATCAAGCTTTCTTCTTAACTGATCTGGCACATGTCTATGTGCTATAAATCCAAACACTTTCAAATAACTTAGGCTAGGCTTGACACCAGACCAATATTCTTCTGGCGTGAATCCTTTAAACTTCTTTGTCGGACATCTATTTAATATGTATGTTGTTGTTGAAACCGCTTCTCCCCATAATTCTTTGGGTAGATGCTTTCCATTCAACATATTTCTCACCATGTTCATGATGGTTCTGTTCTTTCTTTCTGCAATTCCATTTTGCTGTGGAGTGTAGGGTGGCACCACCTTATGCACAATCCCTTATTTTTCACATAATGCATCGAACTCTTATGACACATACTCTCCACCACCATAAGTCCTTAGGATTTTCAGCTTTCGACCATTATGTCTTTCGACCATAGATTTGAAGCTGGAAAATACCTCGATCACATCATTTTTCTTCTTGATGAGGTAAGTCCATAACTTTTGATTGTAATCATTTATGAATGTGACAAAGTATCTATTTCCTGCAATCGAATCCACCTGGATTGAACCACATACATCAGAGTATATGACTTCCAGAATTGCCTTCGACTTCCTTCCCGCATCCTTGTTGAAGCTATTCTTGTGTTGCTTTGACTAAACACACTCTTCACAAACTTCACTTGAAATGTCAATTTCTAGTAATCCTGAAACCATATTTCTTCTCTTTAAATCTATGATGTCTTTGAAGTTGAGATGGCCAAGTTGATAATGCCACAAGCATTCATCTTTGCTGGCTTTAGTTGCAAGGCACTTGTGCTCCATCACATTTAGTTCAATCTTAAAGGTCCTATTCTGAGACATTGAAGCCTTCAAGATCAACCTACCACTTGCATCGAGAAGTCTCATCATCTTGTCTTTGATCGACACCTTGTAGTTCTTTTTGACCAGCTGCCTTATACTGAGCAAATTACTCTTCAAGCCTGTTATGTACAATACATTGGAAGTTGTTGACTTCTTTCCATCTTTCCTCATAATCATAACATCACAAATACCTTCAGCTGCTAGAGTATTGTCATTTGCAAATTTCACCATATTCTTCATTGAGGGCTTCATGTTGACAAACCAATCTTTCCTACCAGTCACGTGTGATGAGCATCCTGAGTCCAAGTACCACTGATCCTGGAATCTTTCTTCATCTCTTTTTGTGACGATCAAAAAATTTCTTCTTCTTCATGTTTCGCTAACTTTGCATCAATTTATTGATTCTTCTTCTTTTCTCGACATTCACTAAAATAGTGACCATACTTCTGACAATTGAAACACTGAATGTGACTTTTGTCAGGTTTTCGACCATCACCTCTTCCTCTACCTACAACACCACCTCTTAGATTTCCTTGATTCCAGGGTTTTCTTTGATTCGACCAGTTACTTTCTTGCCGATTTTGACCAGTCGAATTGTTGTAGCCTCCTCTACGTTTATTCCCATTTCAACTTCCTTTATCTTTCTTTTCTTTTTCTGATTGCGTCTGCAAAGCCATATCACTCTTCGACTTTCCTACAGCTCTTTCAGCCATCCTTTGTTCATGAGACTCTAGTGTCCCTTGAAGCTCTTCCTTCGTTAATACTGACAAGTCTTTCGACTCTTCTATAGCAACTACCATGTGGTCAAACTTTGGAGCCAATGACCTCAAGATATTTGCAACAACTGATCTTGATGTCAACACTTCTCCATATACCTTGATTTGATTCACCAGCTTTGTAACTCTAGTGAAGAAATATGCTATACTTTCACTTTCTTCCATCTGAAGCAATTCATAGGTTCTCTTGTGAGTTTGTAACCTAACCTCTTTCACCTTCTCAGCTCCTCCAAACGATTTTTCAAGAATCTCCCAAGCTTCTTTTGCTGATTCTACATCACTAACTTTTTCAAAGTTATCTGGATCAACACATTGATGGATTATAAAGAGAGATTTCTAATCTTTCTTCTTCAATTCTTTATATGCTGCTTTCTCCTGATCTGTCGCAGTTTCTACAAGCGACGATAAGTCATCCTTCACAAGATCCCAAAGATCTTGGTAACGGAAAACCACCTTAATCTGCTTGTACTAATTCTCATAATTATATTTCTTGAGAATTGGAAGATTTGCTGGAAAATGATCGTTCGGGTGATTCATCACCATCATAGTTGTTCTTCCCTTGAATCAAAATCGGAGCTCTGATACCAAATATTGGAATTCAACCATGATCTATGGTGAATTCTTCTCAATATTGATCTTAAGATTGTTATGTAATGACAATGAACGAAAATAAGAACACATTTAAAGAAGATGAGTATGAACTGCAGAGTGACTCTCTGCCCACAACTCTGGAATTTTATTATCACTTTGCGACTGCAAAATCGTGATTATCAAACTTGCATCTCAAGCTAAAGCCCAAACTATAAAAGCCCAAAAATATCTAATCTAATCTTTTTAAATCAAATATGATCTTTCTAAATTTAATCTAATCTTTCTAAAACAATGAATTACATATTTAACAGGCTTTGTAAATGGTGTAAACAATAAATATTTTTTGTACAATGTGCCTTTTTGAGAAATTGACAAAAGGTACAATGTTTCTGCTTCAGAAATGGCTAAAATATGATTATGTAATAAGGTTAAAACAAAAATATAGAAAAATAAAAAAAATTAAATAACAATGTTTTCCCCACGATTATTATTATAAATCGAGGTAATAATTATTCTCTATTACCTCGGTTTCTCAAATAACCGAGAGGAAATGTGGGGCGCGCTATCCAGTTCTGAAAATAATAAAAATGCATAAGCTAGGGATTACAATTCATGTGAAGAACACTTTACCCCTCGGTTATTTCAAAACCGAGGGGTAATGTGGCAAGTTTTCATGACGCCTTTCGTTACCACGACTCTGTAATCGAGGTCAAATCCCCTTTGTGGCCGAGGTTAAATGTGTTTTTTGTTGTAGAGAAGAATGTGAAGAGTTGAAGAGGTATTTAAATACCTTGGATATTGTTGGCCAGAAGGCAATGAAGAAAAAATTTCGGGAACCAACATATCCATGCACAACTTCCATATGTCCACCACCACTGAACTACAAGTCAAAGAGATGAAATAAGAAAAGTAAGATGGGGCATCGTGATCCTTCGTAGTCGGAGTATGCTTAGGCCTCACAGAGAAGTCAGCTGACGAAGAGATCATGTACTAAAGATCCATCAAGTCATTCGATTAAAAAAAGTCTTGCAAATATCTTTATTTGTCCCAGTTTCTTTTTTTCTTACATGACTACATTGAAGATACTTGGATTGTGTGAAGAGTCCTGGTCCTTAGTTAGGACACAATTAGATAGTGAAATTTATCTAAACAATTAGATGTATTATAAGGTGTTCTATGGCACGGTCTCTAAAGTTAGGAATTCCTTACGAGTATCTAGCTTAGGTCCTCAAAATTGTGAGAAGTGGATGACAATTCTTGATATGAGTTTAATATATATAATGTGATATTGGTCTCGTTGTCCATTAATCTTGACATCATTTTCTTGCCACTTGTGGTATCTCCATCTATGTTTGCGAGTAAACGTAAACTTATTACAGTTGATTATGTTAACAATAGTCATTGAACTAATCACATCGTTCATATCAAGCCCAAGTCCAAATCATTATGCTCCAAAAGAAAGAGAAACTTTCCTGGCACCCATCCGGTTAAACTTGGTACCCCTCAAATTTTTTATATTGACTAAAATGCTCTGTTCATGTTTTTTTTACTAAAAAGGTGCTAATGAATTTTCTCTCGCGTAAAAAATCTAATAGGACAATCAAAAAATCAAGTATGCATTTTTGCCCAACATCAAAGAGTCCAATAAAACGATGATAATTTCAAAATTTAAAAAAATCTAGTAGTTCATATTAGATAGGCCAATAGAAAAATGAAGTTATTAGTACCAAATATTTTGATAAATTCGGTATTTTGTAATTTTAAAAATCCGATAATTCATATCAGATAGACTAATAAAAAAAACGAGGTTAATCTTATATGATTTTTTTGATAAATCCTGTATATGTTGTAGTTTCTTTAGGATTTTGTAAAATAATCAATGTAAAATCATAATTTTGTTTTCAAAAATCTATGAATTTATACTGAATATTTGAAAAATCAAGTTTAATGATTTTATACCGTTTTTTTACATTCTTTTAAAAAATAGATTATGATTTTACATCGTTTTTTAATAAACAGATATAAAATCCATGCTTTTATATCAATTTTTTCTAAAATTCAATAAATATGCATGACTTTTTCAAAAATCATGTAGATTACACATAAGTCCAGTAAAAATCAAATAAAAATTAAAAAAACCAAAATCTCGTAAAATTCTGATATACTTAACAAAAAAATCTAAAAAACCATAATTTTTAAGGATATTTTGATAAACTTGTATAGAGTCTGGGGTGCCAGGAAAAAAAATCTGCAAAAAGAAGAACTGAAATGACCCAAACGGTTTCCCACTCCCACCGTAAAAATAGTGCCAACCACAATTTTCTACTGTTTTAGATAATGCAAGCTTCTGCACAAAATTGAAAAGTAAAAGTTCAAGAATAAGAATAAAGAGAACAATTAAAAGTCTTCCACCAATTCAGTCTTAAAAATTCATATTTAACAGAGTTAGATTACAGTCAGTAATTATGTTGTTTTATACTAATCAACATAAATAAATAAATAAATAAAAATGCAAAACCATAAAAAAAATTCTGGCTTAAGAAAATTCTATTAATAATAATAATAATAATATTAGATTAATAGTACTTTCATACACAGATAAACTAACTATTTAATTATCATGAAATAACCACAATTTAATATTTCATTAATCCAACTGTCCATTTTCCCAGCTTAACTTAGATGCAACTCTTACGTGCTGCGGCGAATATTCCTATAAAAATAAAAATAAATATTTATATAATTTCTGACGATAGTATATATATATATATATTAGTGTATTAATTAATGTAAATAAATTTAAAAAAATAAAAATGATAAAGTAACCTCCATCTTTTTAACAAGTTCTTTTGTTGATGGGGCAGATACAATTATATGTCGAGCTAGAGGGCAAATGAAACCTTCCTCCACAGCTTTGTCAATGAAAGATAACAAAGAATTGTAGAATCCATCTACATTCAACAACCCAACCTTTTCCAAAAATAAAAAAATTAATTAATTTATAGATTATTTTCTCCATTAAAAAAGAAGAGATACCATGAGACCTTACTGGTTTATCATGGATGCCAAGTTGAGCCCAAGTTATGACTTCAAGAAGCTCTTCAAGTGTCCCATAGCCACCTTCATGCACCGTCATTATTTAAGAGATTTTCAGTATAAATAAAATGTCGCAGATTCAAACCTGCGCCTCTGTAACTAAAATATCTTCTTTAAAAAAGAAAGAATAATGGAACTAACCGGGTAAGGCAATAAATGCATCAGAATGTTTAGCCATCTCAGCTTTTCTTTCATGCATATCTGCCACTGCCTTCACTTCCCCTACGGTCTCTCCACTTATCTGCAATTTCACTTACTCAGCACTTTTTATTCATCCATTTTTTTTTGAAAATATTTAATTATAAAATATTTTTTGTAAAGGTTAAATTTGATAATGCTTCTTAAATGATTCCATGCCTTAGTTTTAAGCAAAATATAACATGCTCCATTGAATAAAAAGACCTTAAATATCTTATCCAAATCCCAAGAAAATGGGAATCAACCATAAAAAAGGTTTGACAAAAGAATCTAAAGAAAGGTATATAGAGTTTGAAGAGAAAGGGACAAAAATATTGAGAAGGAAATGACCCTATATTGCCAGGTGTAATGATAGATATAGATAAAGTGTGTTAAAGAGACCTAAAACGTAACCTCAAAATACTAATATGAACAAGAAAACACAACTTAGTCCCACTTGTAACTTGAAACCGACATGGATAAAAAAAAGTGGAAAATAAAATAGCAAGGTGGAAATTCATCAAAAGAGAGGATAAATACATAGAATTTAAACAAGAAAAAGCAAAATGAGCATATATCATGGTTGAAAAAGAAAGGTGCTTCTCAAAATCCAAAGCATCTAAAATATTCATTTTGTTCGTTGAATGTGTCAAACTCCACATGCTTTTAAAAATGGCTTTTATTGATAACTTTGGTCCTCAAACGTATATTTCATTAAATAGTTTATTAATCTTTAAAAATAAAAATTTAAAGAAAGTATACACTATTACATATATAATTAATCAAAAATTTATATTAACTATATTATATTAATATTTTAAAAATAAAAATATGATTTGAGTCGTGTATAATTATTTTACAAATTAATAGTGAAATATAAATATTACCTCTCTTGACATTAATGCCCTTGGAATTACCCTGTAATAATATAACTAAATAAATAAATAAAAATAGTAGAAAATATTAAAAATATAAAAAATAAAATTAATCAATCGTTAATTGATTCAGTAGTGATTAATACTGAATTTAGTAAAAAAAATTACGATTCGATTTTCCTACAGCAATTGAAAGGAAATAATCGAATTAATCAGTTGAATAAACTAATGAAAAAAATATAAATAAAATTGAAAAATGCTTATTGCTTACCCAATAACATGTCGACCTCCATCATAAACAGATTGAGATATCAATCCCATTAAACCAATGTTGCCTCCTCCATATACCAAATCAATATTTCTTGACACCTTTAAAAATATTTATAAAAAAAATTTTAATTAACACTTTTACAATAGTAATTTTCCACACACTTTTATTTATAATCAACTTTAAGAAATTGAGGAGAGTTAAGTTCCACTTGAGGAAGCATATTCCAAAATATCCATACGAATAAAGTAAAGAATTTACAATATCATTCAATAAAAAATAAATAAATTATTAAACCATTAAAATACTTTTAAAATTGAAGTATGATTTTTTCGAATACAAGTCATTAATTGTATGTCAGTGTAAAATATACTTAATTTACATAATTTGATTAATTATTAAAGGTATTTCACTCACATATTATATCTTATATTTTTTTTATTGAGCTCATAAGCTTTATTACAGAAATGGAAATAAATTTGATTCTTCATAATTTGTTATGGTCCAATTGAGTCAATATTGAAAAATAATATTAAATTAATCTTTGACATTTTTATACAAAAGATTAAGTAATTCTTCTTTTATATTGACTTATCATAATAAATTGAACTAGTTTATTCTCTAAATAAAAATGTCAAAGACTAATTTAATATTATTTTTTATCCAGACTTAATTGGAGCTCAAACAAATTATTAAACAATAAAATAGTTCTTTAGTTAAAAAATAGAAGAAGAAATACCCTCAACCGCACAAAAAGTGCCAATATAAAAATTTAAGTATACTTCCATCATGGATGGATGAAAAAAAATATAGAGTATCATGAAATTGATTATGGAATACTATATAATCAAACAAACACAAAATTATCAAGATATAAGAATGTGAGTTCAAATCTGCAATATCCGTAATCTCGACATAGAAGTATTCGATATTGAAGGATGAACGATGAACATAAAAACAAAGTGTAAAAGAGAGAGAATGAGAGAATTACCAACTCTTTTCCAAGCTCAATAGCAGCATCTTTATAGCTACTCTTATTCCCAGAACTACTACCACAAAAAACACAAATCCTCTTAAACTTTGATTCTTTCATCTCACTTTCCTCTTCCATCTTTTTTTCTTCTTCCTCTTGTTCTATTCTGTTCTCTTTTCCAATCCTCAAACACCTATATATATTTCTATAAAGGTTTCGTTCTAATGTAGAACCATGATTACATCATAAGCAATAACATACATACGTGTGTTTTTGTGTTTTGTTTTCTACTTTACTATGGTCCCCTTGGTGTACCAGAAAAGATAATAATAATAGTGTAAGAAAGGAAATCCGTGGTCCTATATCAAGATGATTGTGTGGTTTCGTATCATCAAATTGAGTATTGGAATAGGAACCTCAAAAGATAGTTACAAGATCATCATCATCTCTCTCTCATCATCTTTTATAATACACTTTCAAATACTTTTTTTGTTCAATCTTCATGTTTGTGTTTGTCTTTGTCTTTGTACTACAACTTTTTATAACACTATTATTCTTTGGAAAATGCTAACCAGTATCCTCTAACATAGTTAAGAAATTAAAATAATAAATTGAGTATTATTTAAGAGATTAAAAAAATATTTTTTTAAATATATATATATATATATATATACTAAAAATAAAAATAATTAATTTTTTTTAAAAGAATACTATATTTATTCGATAAACCGAGCCTAATATATTTCCTTTATTTAAAATTTTTAACCAATGTCTTATGAGATTGGATAATAAATATGATGTTTAAGAATATTGATTTAGATAACTGTGTAACTTGTTCATTTATTAATATTTCTGTATAATTTTGATATATATATATATATATATATATATATATATATATATATATATATATATATATATATATATATATATATATATATATATATATATATATATATATATATATATATATATATATATATATATATATATATATATATATATATATATATATATATATATATATATATATATATATATATATATATATATATATATATATATATATATATATATATATATATATATATATATATATATATATATATATATGATCTTGTTAACATATCTAGAATTGTTTTCACTTTTAATTAGAATTTAAATCATAAACATGATTTCTATTAAATTAGAATCAATGGTAGTGGCTATATATTGAATGTGTTAGGGCAGAGTGAGTTGACAATGAATTTGTCAAACCATTTTGCACTAAGACTTGAATTTTCTAACAGATATAGCTTTGGTTGACTTTTAATTAATCTCATATTTTTATCACATTTTGATAACCAACTAAACATGTTGACTCACCAACTTACATTTTCTCTATAAATGCCATGAAGAAAAAACATATTTGACATATAACTATAACAAACTAACACAAAATAATGTTGGTATTTGACAATACATGTGATACTGCAGATTATAATGTTCATGAGACAAATAATTGCACTCTTATACCGTTACTCGCCGACAAGATTCATATAGAAGCTCATATAGTCACATGGTGGACATCATATGCCCTATGCGATGTATCATGTATCCTAAACAACCTCCTTCATTAACTAGACAAACTTGATGCGTGCCTAAGAAGCATTGATTCTTTGTTATAACTATGATTTCATTTGGACACAAAATGGTTACCTCCATTCATTTTGTATGCAGACAAATATGGGGTAACCACCACTATGTTTTGTAAACATTACATAGTTTTGTAAACATTGAGAGAGAGAGAATTGTAGTCATTACATTATAATTATCATCTTGATTTAAATTTATGGTTGAGTGTTGTATCATTGAGATTGAGAAAACAAAAAAATCTTTATCTTGATTATCAATTTTTAGTTTTCTCTTTCAATTTCTTTCAAACTTATATTAAGACTTTATAATACTAAGTTGTGTGTGGTGCATTCAATAAAAAATAATTATTCTCTTAAAAAATTTACTCAAATATTTCTAACATTTGATATCACATGAAGGTTATGGGTTTGAATCCCTTCGGCTGACACTAGGAGGATGTTGGATTTATTAATCTAGCGTCACCCTTTGGGATTCAACGGGCTTAACATTCCAACCCATGACGTTTAGCATATATGGGCTAGGCGGAGCACCTTAGGGGCTCTATACTATAAGGACATAAAGTAGTACCCTCATTAACAACAATTACATTTAGTGCAGTGGTCAACACGTGATCCAAAAATTGGTAACAGAGCCTCCAGGTTCTACTAATCCACCTTAATCCAATGGACAACTCGGGCTAAACCTCAACAAATATCAATTATCTCATTCTAGAGTTTAATGGTGATGACTATGATTTATGGTACGTAAAGATGAAGATTATCTTTTGATCTCTTAGCCAATGGGAGATTGTGGAGAATGGAGTGGAAGAGCCCATGGAAGAAAACGATCTCAATGAGGTCGACCTAAAGAAATTATAGAAGTCTTAGCAAGCCGATGCAAATGCTTTTTCAGTCCTTCAAAGATCAGTCATTAAAACTATCTTTTCCAAAATCATGTGAGCTGATCAGGAAAATAGCAAGTGTACTATTTTTACCAATTGTAGTAATAAGGGAAACGTCCCAAGTATCGATCTCGAGGACTGCGTAATAATTAACGGAATTTTTAGAATTCAATTGAACAAAAGGTCTAGTGATTTGTTTGGTAGCAGAGTAATATCACAATAAATACGGACTTAATTAATTAATCTAAGAACAGTGTTAGGGAAGTGGAGACTATACGAGTAAAGACCCTGTATGATTATTCTACTATACTAGTTATTAACCTTAATATATTAGTTGGCCACTTTAGTTGCCTTAATTCCTTAATGGAAACCCTTTGATGATTTTCCTGTTCACTAATTCCTCAGTGTCCCTGAAAAACATCAAGCCATAGTTCCGACCATAAAATACGTGATACGAGATATCCTCAATCCTAAGCAATATCGACCGTGATAATATTTTGCAAAAGTGTTAGGTTGACTTTCCAGACTAAGCCTAAGCATTATTCGAATTCTACTTTCCAATATGAATACGAATAGTATTAATACAAAATCAAATATATTAAGGTAAAAACATAGTTCTCATAGAATAATTAAACAACCGTCATTACATCGCATTAAGGACCACCCCCTAACAACTTGGGGTTTAGCTACTCATGTTCTGGGTAAACATAAAAGTAATTAGAATTAAAAAGGAGAAGATCATTACAATGCACGTTGAACTCCTTGGATCATCAATTGCTTCCGCTTTTGATCGATCCTCTGTTTCCAGCCGAACTCTCCTCTCAGTTGTCAATCCTAATCTCTGTTCAAAAAGTGTCCTCTCTCTTTCTAAAATGTGCCTCTTATATCTAAATTCAAATTACATAGCGAAATGTCTCAAATGCCCTTCGAAATAGGTCTGACAGCAAAAAACAGAAAACAGAGAAATTCCACGTTCAGTGGCCCTGACACGGGCCGTGTTGTGCAACACGGGTGGCCGTGTCAAGCTGCTGGCTTCTTTTGGGGCGTGTTCCTCTCCAAGGGCTGCAACACGGGCCGTGTTGCATGACACGGGCACCCGTGTTGCAAGTCTGAGTCTTCTTTTTCCATCTGCCTTGCTCCACCCGTGTCTGCCAGCCGTGTCCTTCATGACACGGGCCGTGTTGTGCAACACGGGTACCCGTGTTGCAGCTCTGAGTTCCCTTTTTCGCCTTTTCTTTTCCTCCGGATGCGGTGCGATTTTCGTGCTATCCATTCCTGCCAAAAACACACTAACAGAAACCAAATCAAACGCACCAGCGGCAAAAGTAACATAAACTTAAAAATAAGACTCGAAGACACACAACTACGAGTAATGCAGATAATAACAACTAAAGCTTCGAAAACTAGATAAAAACATTGCGAAATTAACCACAAACAGCGTTTGAAAACACAACTAAAATCCACCGATCAAACTCCCCCGAACTTGAACTTTTGCTTGTCCTCAAGCAACAAGCTCACCAACCCGAACTTAATATCTCTTTTTTTGTTCTTTTCATAACGGAACCGTCCATAGAATTGTGAGTTACGGTGATAATACTCATACTTGAACTTCTCATTCCAAGTCCCCTAGGATTTATCTCGGCTTTTCCCTCAAAACAGGTAACCTGCAAACACTAGACTGCGGTAAACCACAGACCTCAGTCTCCCTATGGGTAACCTCTCCGACTATGCTTTGTACTTAAGTCTTCTTTTTCGATTTTCCTCCCTTTCATTCGGACAATCACTATATGGCTTTTATGATTTTCCTCGTGTGCACAAGATTTAGCAATCTCTTTCTGGCACTGTTATTCTTCTTGAATGGCTTTCAGGTTCGACCGCCGTTGGGCTGAGTAACCGGGTGAGGGTTACCCAACTTAGAAGGATTAGTCGCCTACTTGCCCCTTTTTGTTTGTTTTTTTTTCTTGTGCCTTAACTCTATATTTTTCATTATCCTTGCACACACGATTATTTTTGATGGAGCCTGATTGTCAAAATAAACTACTCAGGGGTACTTCTCAGATCAAAGCACTATGGTACAAATCTACACGTCGAACTCGTTCCTCTTTGGGAAACCCAGGGTGTTGGCCTTTTACCTATCTCTCAAGATTATCCCAATTTCATCCTCACGGTTCTTTTCTGAGTATTCTATATACTTTCTCATCACCTCACTCAACATCTTCACTCAACAGTTCCCCAACCAACAATTTCATTAATTTTGTTAGCTCAATGTCAGGGGGGTCTTCCTGTGGATCGCTATCATGTTCTCAAACTAACACTGGACTGGAAATTAAATAGACAAATAACTGCAACAGAATTGAAAACACACAAATAGCATAAAAACACAAATAAAATAAAACAAACACAAATAAAATACCCCCACACTAGAATTCAACAGTGTCCTCACTGTTGGAACACTATTAGCAGGGGACTCACAGAGTTCATGGTTGCGGAGGTTGGTCGCGCAGCATCATCTGCCGCATCCATTCATGCATCTCACCGATCAACCTGCCTTGTCGGATTTGCTCATTCCCTTGTCTTGTCTGCTCCTCGCCTTGCCTCGTCTGCTCACTTCTGAGATGGCACA